CCTATCGTGATCAGAGTATCCCTCCTGTTTGTATTTGTGTAAATAAATCATGTGTATGTTTGGCATATTGCCTCCCTGATATTCCATGCATTTTGTATTTTGATCTTGATTGAGATCTCTTATTTCCTCCCAATTTTTATTATTGCTGTATAGAAATACTGATGCTTTTTGTAGATTTATTTTGTGTCTTGCTACTTCTACTTTATATATCTAGTGGCACAGGGAATAGAGCACTGGACCTAAAGTCAGGAAGACCTGAATTTAAATCTGGTTTCAGCCACTAGCTGTGTGATGCTGGGCAAATCATTTAACCTTTTATTACTGAAGCTATTTCCTTGGAAATTTTGTTTTATTAATTCTCTAGTAAACTACTCTTTGGACAGCTAGTTGGGGCAGTAGTTTGAGTGCCAGGCCTGGAGTCAGGAAGACTCATCTTCTTGAGTTCAAAGCTGACTTCAAACACTTATCAACTGTGTGACTCTGGGCAAGTCACTTCACCCTGTTTGCCTCAGTTTCCTCATCTGTAAAATGAACAAGAGAAGGAAATGACAAACCACTTTGTATCTTTGCCAACAAAACCCCAGATGGGGTCACAAAGAGTCAGATGTGACTGAAACAACTAAACAACAAAAGCTCTTCTTTCTTTTACAGACAGATAGTTGGTTTCTTCTAGGCCTGTGCTTCCGGTATTGATTTCCTTCTCTAGTTAGTGCTCTTTCAAATGAAAGTGTCCCCAGCGGGCATCCCTGCTGTGACTCAGTGTCACTGGGATCATTTTTAGTGTTTCTGTTATAGTTAGTGCTAGCTTTTGGAGACAGTAATATTTTTCATCATTTTGAGGGAATTATTTTTCATTATTTTATTTCAGTGCTTTTTAATATCTTAGAATAAGTGAGAACTGGCATCTTGTGGAAGACCTTTCCTACACTGATTGAAATCCTGTGTATTTTGTTGACAGCCCATCTCTTCAGTCCCTAAGCTGCCTGCTCTCCCCTTCCCAAGTTATTGGGTCTAGGGTCTAGTGAACTTGAGTCTGGTTGAATGGCTGCGAACGAGAGATGTAGGGCATCAAGGGCCAGACACAATGATGGTAGTCAAGTGTCTTCGTTCCCTTTAAATCTTCCATCAGAAATCTTTGTTCCAGACTTGGAGGTGCTTCTTATGTGATTGTATTGGAGTGTATGAGTGCTCAGGGAGAACCAGCACCTTGGAAGGGAGGGCTGCTGAGCCTTTTCAGGGCTGCTTATCCAGTTTTGGTGTCCACTTGCCATACAGCTCTCATCTGTGGCTCCAAGAAGCTGTAACGTTCGCAGCAGCCACACCTCAGTAAAATGATCTTGGTAGGTGGCTAAACCAAGTTAGTGGTAACTGAGGGGCCTCAAATCTGTTAGTGAGTTAATGGGGTATCTACCCTAAGCATGAGAAGACTTCCCTGGTAGCAGAAGCAGATACTGCAGTGCTGAGAGCTTGCTCAGAAATTGAGGACACTAAAGTCATCCCCTGCACCTTCCAGGGATATCCACATAGTTGATGAGGTTGACACATGCGTTGCCAGAGCTAGCTCAGTATTTGGGAGGCTCTGAAGGAATATGTGGGAGAGAAGAGGTATTAGCCTGCCCACCAAACTGAAGGTCTACAGAGCCGTTGTGCTGACCTCATTGTTGTAAGCCAATGAAACCTGGACATACCACCATGCCAGAAAATCGAGCCACTTCCATTTCAGTTATCTTTGGATGGTTCTGAAGATCACCTGCCAAGATAAGGTACCAGACACTGAAGTCCTCTGAGCTGAACTGCCAAGTATTCAAACTACAGCAGAGAGTACAACTGTGATGGACTGGACATGTTCAAATGCCAAATACACATTGCCTGAAGGACTTTTATGGAGAGCTCACACAAGGCAGGCACTCACATTGTAGGCAGAAGTGATACAAGGACCCCCTCAAGGTCTCTCTCAGGAACTTTGGTATTGATTGGGAGACATGGGAGACACGGGCACAGGATCATCCAGCATGGCATTAGATGCTTAATTACTTTCAGCTGTTTCAGTTGTGTTGATTTTTCATGACCCCCTTTGGCATTTTCTTGGCAAAGATACTGGAATGGTTTGCCATTGCCTTCTCTAGCTCATTTTGCAGATGAGGAAATTGAGGCAAACAGGGCTAAGTGACTTGCTCTGGGTCACACAGCCAGTAAGTATCTGAGGCCAGATTTGAACACAGGAAGAAGAGTCTTCCTGCCTTCAGGTTGAGCGCTGTATCCACCGCACTACCTATCTGCCCAGCATGGTATGCCCACGTCAAAGAAGGCGCTGTGCTCCATGAACAAAGCAGAATTGCAGTCACTCAAAAGAAACACAAGATGCGTAAATTTAGAGACATCTCCCTCCCAAATGGTCATACAGACTATTTGTGCCTGACCTGTGGTGGAGCCTTCTGAGCTCACATTGGTGTGACGGGACACAGCCAGACACACTCTACGTTGACCTGACGGACTGATGTCACTTTAGTCCTTTTTGAGCACAAAGACAAACAATGCGATTGTCCCTCTGACCCCAGGGAAGGTTCTCATCTCATCACCATTGTCTCTTCCAGGGGTGTAGTTGTTATTACCCCACTTTTGGGCTTTTTTCTAAGTTTTCTCTAGAAATATTGGGCCTAATTTTTAATCTTTGACTTCTTTGGGTTTTCTGCTTGTTTCTCATTTTCAAATGTAATGTTGTAAGTTGATGCTTTTGACATTGTTTTTAGGTGGGGCTGTGGGGCTGGCTTTAGTCATGATCACTCCACTCTTTGCAGAAAGTCCCACTAAATAAAGTATGAGGTACTGACAGGTTAGAATTTTGGGTGGATAGTAAAACTCCATAATGTCCAATTGACAATGACATGTTACCCATTTTCTTCTAATCTAAAATCAGAGAACAAAGAATAGCTGATAGATATTTTAAAATCTTATAGTTCCTCATATTAATTTCCCAAATAAGTCAGTAAAAGGAATATTGTTGAGAGAAAGAAGATACAATCTGGTTTTTTTTTCCTCCATGTATTAATATTTTCTGCTTCTTGGGTTAGTTTTGGGATTAAGGGGTGGGGCAAGGGTTTGAGATTAGAGTTGGTAGGAAAATGTAGGAAGGAGAGCCATCATCAGGGTTGGAACTTAATCCAAAAAAAGCTAGTTTGTAAAATGGGTAGTGGATAAATCAAGGTAAGACCTAAATGGAAAACACAACCAGGAAAAAAAAAAACCACAACCACGGTTAAGTTGGGCTGGTTTGGGAATGGAAACCAAAATAAACTGTTGCTAGGTAAGTTTGTCTCTAGGAAAATGTGTGCTCAGACTCAGGAGCCACCCCGATTTATTCCCACCTCCGTCACATAGTAGCTGTGTGGCCAGGATGCTCTTTGGAGTAAAGTGGGAGAGGTCTAAGTCTGAGTCATTTGAGCTGCCTGGGTGAAATGGTTCCTTTGGATAAACTTGAGCTGTCAAGCAATAGGCAACATGCTTAAGCACAAAGGCAGGAGCAAAGCTCCAGGTTTGCTTCTGGTTCTTGTTAGCTGTGTGAATTCACTCCCTCTCCACCTCAACCTCTTAGAAGTCCCGGCTTCCTGCAGATCTCAGCTCAGGCCCCACTTGAGACACGATGTCTTTCAGGATCTTCCACCCGTTCCCCAATTGTATTTTTTATTTACTTTGTACATGAGTTTTGTTTACTCATACAGGTGCATGTTCTTTCCCTTGTTGGAATATTGGTTCCATAAAGACAGGGGCTATTTTTTTCTTTGTATTGATAGCCAAGCCCCTCCCAGTGGTGTGTAGCACAAATCAGCAAATAAGTGCTTCTGGACTGTGGCCCATATTGTTCCTTTCTAGTCTTTTCTAGACTGAGCTTTGTCATTTATAAAATGAGGATAATGAATCATTGTACACCCCACATTGTCCTAAATTAAGCCCTCTGCAGAACAAAAAGGGCAACTATTAGGCAATGATTATATTAATCTACTGTTTGATAAACCCAAAGCCCCCAGCTTCTGAGATAAGAACTCACAATTTAACAAAAACTGCTGGAAAAACTGGAAAACAGTATGGCAGAAACCAGGCATAGATCAACATCTTACACTGTATACCAAGAGAAGGTCAAAATGGGGGCACAATTTAGATATAAAGGCTGATACTGTAAGCAAACTAGGACAAGGAATAGTTTACCTTTCAGATCTATGGAGAAGGGGAGAATTTGTGACCAAACAAGAGATAGAGGACATTATGAAAAGCAAAATGGATAATTTTGACTACATTAAACTGAAAAGGTTTTGCACAGACAAAGTCAATGCAACTAAGATTAGAAGGAAGGTAGAGAATTGGGAAAGGATTTTTATAACCAGTGTCTTTGATAAAGGCCTCATTTCTGAAATATATAGAGAACTGAATCAAATGTATAAGAATGCAAGTCATTCCCCAATTGATAAATGGTCAAAGGATGTCAACAGGCACTTTTCAGATGAAGAAATTAAAGCTATCTATAGTCATATGAAAAAATGTTCTAAATCACTGTTGATTAGAGAAATGCAAGTCAAAAACAACTCTGAGGTACCATATCACACATATCAGATTGGCATGACTAATATGAAAATATATTTAGTATGAATGTATATGTAGAGTACGTAGAGCCTATATCAGATTGCATGCCATCTTGGGAAGGGGGAGGAGAGGAAGAGGGAGAAAATTTAGAACTCAAAATCTTATGGAAGTGAAAGTTGAAAACTAAATATTAATTAAGATTTTTAAAAAAACAAAAAAGAAAGGGCAACTGTTGTTGTCTCCCCTATTTGAATATAAAATCCCAATACTAACCCTTGTATCCCCCTGGCACTTAACACAATGTTTGCCACACAGGAAACATTTCATACATATTAGTTGTATTGTTCAAAATACAGAACATTGCTCCTTTCATCCAGCTCTGAGGGCTGGTCTGTGATGAAGCACAAATTCATTCTCTATTTCAGGAGTCAGTGACATTCAAGGATATTGCTGTGGAATTCACCCGGACAGAGTGGCGGCACCTAACCTCTTGTCAGAAGGAGCTGTACAGAGATGTGATGTTAGAAAACTATGGAAATCTGGTCTGCCTGGGTAAAGATAACTTCCTTCAGTGATTCAGATTTCTGCCTGTTCGGATGGTGGGGGTGTGGATGGGGGCAGTGGGATCTTCCTTAGTAAATGTTGGACAAGTATTGTTTGGCATGCAGAGATCAGAGCTCATTAATCCTTTTCTAAGACACAGAATAATTGTGAAATGTCTTGCTTTGTGCTAGTTGAAACTGGCTTCTGGATTTATTGCTCCTGAAGACATTTTGTATTGCCCCATTCTCTGTCCCCTGTAATGCTGGGTCCATTGGTTGAAGACATGAAAAGTTCCCTCCTCTTAACAAGTCAAAAGAAATAGGAAATGACTTTTTTCTGAGGCCAGTTCTACCATGTGACCCACCTTCCCACTCTCTTAGACATCCTTATAGCCAGCTTCCAAAGTCAATTATAATACTGTCTGGGCCTTAACTAACATGCCTGTTTTTCTCCTGAAAGTTGGGGGGGGAGTAGGATTAAATTCTCGAATGGCTCTGTCTCCAATAATTTCCCTTTTCCAATGACTAGGACTTGCAGTTTCCAAGCCAGATGTCATCTCCCAGTTGGAGCGAAGGGAGGCACCCTGGACACCAGGAGGAATCCAGAGAAGTAGTTGTCCAGGTGAGTGGGGTCCTTGTAAACTACAGTTCCCTTGGTCAGTCTAGGAAAGCATTGGTAAAACTCTGAACGTGGATGTTTCCTGTTGGCTGCCCAGGCCTTGGGAGAAGAAGAGCTGAGCTCGTATGGCATTAGCTCCCTCCTGGACATCCACAACCCAGTGTCCTCACATCTCTCCCCTCCTCGTGTCCTCCAGGGTCAGAGAAGAGGAGGCCTCAGCAGGGGATGGGACTCTCTCTCCTTCCCTTCTGCCCCTTTCCTCATGCTCTGCTGTTTTCACTGCCCATGTAGACGGGGGCTGCACAGGAAGGAGGTCCTGTGTGTGGTTTCTTTCTTTGATGGGCTGCCATGGCCAACTAGTTCATGACCCATGATGACCATCTTCTCGATGCTCAGCTGGGCTTGTCCCAAGCCTCCCCCTGCACCTGGCCTCCCTGGAGGATGGCTGTAATCGTTGGGAAGTTTTGTGTAATGTCAGCCTGGATTTGCCTCTTTCCAGCACCTACCCATTGCTCTCGGTTCTGCCCATGGGGCCCAACAGAACAAGTTGAGTTCATCTCTGTCCAGTGTGTCAGACTGGACAATGTGGTGTCATCCCTGCCCCAGATCTTCTCTTCCCACTAGACACCCCCAGTTGCTTCACTGAGTTGTTTGATGGCAGGAACTTAAGCCCCCCCCAACATCCTGGTTTCCTACCTCTGGATGCTCCTTTACTGAGATGCCCAGAAATGGACGTGCGCACAGACAACAACTCCTTAATATCAGACGGGGAACCTGGCAGACAAGGAGATCATTGGGAAGCACAAACTTTTGCAAAGATGATTCCATTCTCCATTGGTACAAGGAGTGTACGCATGCCTATAGACAGCAGGAAATCCACAGACGTGGAAGACGAATGGCTCACTGTGAGAGGATTCAGCAGGCATCACATCCAGGTAACAGCGCTGAATGAAACCAGGCTGAGAAGCGAAGGCCCACTTCCTGAAATTGTAGCTGGCGTGGCCACCGTGATGGGGCATGCCCTGCAGCTGGTACAGATTTTAAAGTCCAAACTAATGTTGTCAGAAAATTTGTACGCTTCCCAGAAGGAGTGAATGGCAATGTAATTGCCACTTGCAGAAAAGCGCCACCCCACCATCATCAGTGTATATATTCCCACCATGACAAACCCTAATGAAGTCAAAGAAAACTTTGATGAAGACCTGGAAATCCTTGTCACCAATGTGCCAGAAGGGGACAAGCTTCTAATTCTGGGTGACTTTAAGGCCAGAGTGGGCACAGACTCTTAAACATGGTGTGGAGTCCTTTGGAGGAACAGAGTGGGAAACAGCAACAGTCGTTTACTACTGAAGACTTGTGGGTCTCATGACCCCATCACCAACACTGTCTTCTGTTTACCTAAATGCAGTAAAACTTCATAGATACACTCTCACAGCAAACGTTGGCATTTAATAGACTGTATCATTGTAAGGAAAAGAGACCCACAGGATGTGAGAGTGATAAAGACAATGTGTGGTGCAGAGTGCTCGACTGATGAATGCCTTATCCTGTCCAAGCTAAACATTCAGATTCAACCAAAAATGGCTACCAGAACATTTAACAACAGATTAGAACACTTCTCAGACCCTCTCTGAGGTCCTTTTTCAAGCTGAACTGCCAAGCATTCAAATCCTACTGCAGACAGTGCAGCTGCAATGGGCTGGCCACATTATCTGAATACTAAACATATGTTTGCCTGAAAGACTATTTTACAGAGAACTCACACAAGGCAGTCGCTTACATGAAGGTCAGAAGAAGCAATACAAGGACGCTCTTAAGGCCTTACTGAAGAACTTTGGAATTGATTATGAGACATGGAAGACAGTGGCACAGGACTGCCCCGCATGGCGTGTCCGCATCAAAGAAGGCACCATACTCTTGAGCAAAGCAGAATTGCAGTAGCTCAAAAGAAGTGTGAGATACACAAATTTAGAGACATCCTCACTCCAGATGTTCATATGGACTATTTGTGCCCGACCTCTGTTAAAGCCTTTCAGATTTATATTGGTCTAATCAGCCACAGTAGACACAACTTGTACTTTGACCCCAAAGTGATGATGTCATTTTAGTCCTCTCAGAGCATGAAGGACAACCAACCACTAGATGAGTCTTTAAAAAATGACCACCCATTCAACATATTTCAGAAGCCATTGTGAACGGCTCAGTAAGCACATCTGTCTGTTCTTTCAGTACCTGAGAAGTGATTTGTCTGGCCCAGGTAACTTGAATTCATCAGGGCTGGCAACTAGGGGGTCTCTTAGGATATCCTTATATAAGCCTCTTAGGTATCAATTCCATATTAATTATTCTTATTCTCTCCTTTCTAGCCCAAAGTTCATTCACTTTTGCAGACAAAATAGAGTCAAAATAATAGTTGGCCAGTTTTACCTTCTTCCCATCCAGTCTGAACAGCAATCCTGTCTCTTCTTTGATTTTCTTTTTCCTGCTATAGCTTTTAAAGAAAGAAATGTATTTCTTGTTTCCATAGCTTTCCTCAGCAACTTCAGTGCATTCAGAGGATTAACAGTATTGACAGAACCAAGAGAATGTTGTTCAAAGAATAGCTGTGCAAGACTAAGTTATTCTGAGGATTATAAATACTCACACCAGCTACGAAGGACTGATGAAGGAAAATGCCGTCCACCTCCAGAGAAAGAACTGATAAATAGAAGTGTGCATAGTATGTTTTACATCTGTACATATATATCTGTGTCAGATGGTGGCCTTCTGTAGTGTGGGGCAGGGGGAGGGAGAAAGAGAGCAAGTTTGGAGCATAAATTAAAAAAAAAAGGTATTGACATACTGTTCCTATCAGCCCCTCCCATGTTTTTGTGTTTTGTGTTCTTCCTCTGTTTACTTCTGCTTTTCCCCTTTTCCATATGTCATTTAAAACCAAGGTTGATCGGTGAGTTCCCTACCTCCTTAGACAACTGCCCTTCTCCTACTTCAGAGTTGCTCCCTTTGTGTCTTGAGAATATCATTTTTGGAGCTTTCTATCTCTGCCAGAATTTTAACCCAACTTATCCGACCTAACCTTTGAAATCTGTTTTCCAAAAGTGTAGGCATGATGGAAGCCGGGAATAGTCTGACTTCTTCTTTATTACCAATTGTAAGATGGAATACTCTCTTCTTCCCAATGTTCCCATTATTTACACCCTAGCAATCTACTCTGCCTTGTTGGTGAGAACCATGTGGAAAGGAGCATTTCCCCTTGCTGGTACTTCCAACTTTTTAAGGATCAGATTATCCATGCAAGTCAAGTGTATTTGTTCTGTTCTGTTTTAAAATTCAGTAAGCATTTAAGTGCCTACTATGTGCAAACGACTGCTAAAAACTAGGGATACAAAGAAAGGCAAAAGACAGGCCCTGCCCTTGAGGAGCTCACAGTCTGATGAGGAAGACCACATATAAAAAGAAGCTGAAAAGTGAGGAGGACGTAAGGAAGTCCATAAGAGGACAGCCAGCCAAGTGGGAATTGATAAGATAGCTTCCCGGGCACCCTTCTGGAAGGGAGGACCCGGGAAGAGCTTTCTGCTGTCCACCCTTTACCGTCTCCAGTCAGAGGGAGGAAGGGCCCCAAAGGAAGGGGGCACTGAGGACAGATGTGAGTTTCAAGGCTGATGTGATTTTGCAGTATCATGAGGTACCAGCAAGCATAATGAAAGTCCAGAGAAGTGAATGCAGCTGAGCAGGCAATGAAGAGGTGGCAACCCTAAGCACTTTTCTTAAATGGGAAATGTAAATCATGAGCATTTCCATATACAAGGAAGAACAGAAAAAGAGGATTGCATGTACATCTTCTTTATGCCTCCTGCACCTGAATTTCACTCCAAAGTAATATAATCAATTCAGGTTTCAAAGTTCTCCTTGTCTGTGCTTCCCCCATCTCTTTTCTTCTGTGCATTTATTTTTCTTTTTTGGGGGTTTTTTTAGGCAATTGGTGTTAAGTGACTTGCCCAGGGTCACACAGCTAGTAAGTGACAAGTGTTTGGTCTGAGGCTGGATTTGAACTTGGGTCCTCCTGACTTCAGGGCCAGTGCTCGATCCACTGCACCACCTAGCTGCTCCTCTTCTGTGCATTTAACAAAATACTACAGTTGCCTTATTTTCTTGACTTTCTTTATATTCATATTATTATTTCTAGTCCCCTTTCCTCCCAAATGCCACAGTAATTAAAAAATAAGCCTTACAGAAAGTACACATAGCTCAGCAAAACGTATTCAAACTTTAGGCCATGATAAAAACATGTATCACTGTGTACCTTGAGTCCCTAATACGTCTGTCGGGCATTAGGTAGTTGCTTCGTCTTTCGTCATCACTTCTTCATTTATGTCTTCTTAGGTTTCTCGTGATCCATCCCTTTCACTTCTTAAGGAACATAATATTTCATCACTTCAGATATCATAATTTCTTCATATATTCCTCAGTTGATTGACTCTTTATTATTCCTTTCTACATAAAAAGTGATGATATTAATTTTTTTGTACATATGGGTCCTTTCTCTTTCTTTGACTTCTTTGTGATATAAACCAAATAGTGCAATTACTGGGTTAGAGGATTGTGTGTATTTTAATGACTTTCTGGCTGTAGGGCCAAATAGAGTTTCAGAATGGCAGATGGTTTCACAGCTGTGCTTCTCGATGCATCAATGTACCTGTTCTCCTCCAGCCTCTCCAACAACTGACAATTGTCAGCCTTCCTACTTGATGAGTGTGAGATGTAGCTTCAGAGGTCTTTAAATTTATATTTTTCCAATTATTTAAGATATGGAGCATTTTTTGATAGGGTTCTTGATAGTTTGGTCTTTTGGGGCAATTGCCTGTTCATGTCTTTTGATGATTGTCTATTATAGAATGGCTCTTACTTTTATATATTTGAATTTGTTCTTTATATCTTAAATCTTTATCAAAGAAATTTACTGCAGAGATTTTTTCTCAGTTAACTATTTCCTTCTGACTTTATCTGCATGTATTTTGTTTACAAGGAAGCTTTTCGGTTTTATTTAAATCAAAATTATCTATTTTATCATCTGTCATCCTCACTCACCCTTATGTGGTATTTTCTTCTCCATAGCTTAACAAGGTCACTCCATTCTTGTTCCTCTAATTTGCTTATGATGTGACTTTTTCAGTTAAAGTCATGTATTCATTTGGAGATTGTTATGGTACACAGTGTGAGGTGTTGGTCTAGTTTCTGCCAGGTTGCTTTTGGGAGTTCCCTCTAATAGATCACAACCCATCCATCCCAGTCCATCCATTTCAACTTTTATTCCTGTCCTTGCAAATGTTTACTTAACAGGTTCTCCCAACATCACAAAGGTATCAGTGGAACACAGTAGATGTTGAAGTCTGGTCAACAGAATTCTTCATCTATTTGGTCTTTCCTGTATGGATGTATAGGCCAAACTCTCTTGAAATATTACATATCTCTTCTAAGAGGCTCTGCAGTATCTGGGGCTTGATGTTGTTATCTGCAAATAGTAACATCTGGAATATGTAAATTAAGTTAAAAAAGCCTATATCAATAAGTAAACTCATCAAGACATATATAAAATTTATAATTAGGAGTAAAAAAAAAGAAATAATTAGAAAACAATTAAATGTTTATGGATGGGACATGCCAGCATAATGCAAATGGCAGTGCTTCTAAATTAATCTGCAGATCTGATGATTTAAATTACCAAGCAAATACTTTTATATTTAGGTAGAAAAATAACAATTCATATGGAGGTGAAAGTTTTTAAGAATGTCAATGTAAATAATGACTAAAGGGGATCTTGGATTACAAAATCTCAAAATTATATTGTAAAGTAGTAATCAAAATATTTATTACTGATTCAAAAGCAAAAAAGTGGAAGGGACTAAATAAAACCCAGAACCATAATCTTTGATAAATTGAAGAACATAAACTGCTTCTGAGGCTTCTTATTTGATAAGGAATGCTAAGAAAAATAAAAAGCAGTTTAATGGAAAAGAGACTTAGAAAATAATTTTTCCTGATGGGGGATACAGAGAATACAAAATGCAGAGAATACTACGTATGTGTATACCAAGAATAACAAAGAAGACATTTACATTGTTTTTTATCTCATTTCAGATTGGGAGGCTACTCCAGAAACCGAGAAGTCACTTCTGAAGCTGGGCATTTCAGTAAAAGATTTATTGCAGGAAAGAGGCACAAAAAAGAATCACTGTTTTTCTAGATTAAAAAAATCCTGGGATTGTGATGCCACATTAGAGAGGCATCAGAGCAATGAAGGAAAACTTTCTCAAAAAGAAAAAATTACCAAAAAGAAACCTACAAATAAATCTAGAAGCCACAAATATAATAAATGTTATAGAACCTTCACTCGAGGGCACATTTTTTGGGCACAACAAATACCTCTAAAAACAAATCTTTGTAAACATCAGGCCGAAAAAAAGGGCATGAAACAATCTAAAAAATTAAGAAAATGTAAGAAAACATATTCAGAGAAGGTATTTTCCAAGTATAATGAATTTGGGAGATGCTTTAATTTGTACTTTACTGAAAACCTCAGGCTACAAAATGGAGAAAAATGGTATCATTGTAATGAATGCAATAAAGCCTTCAGCCAAAGGGTCAGTCTTATTCAACATCATAGAATACATACTGGAGAGAAACCTTATCAATGTGATGTATGTGGGAAGACTTTCCGACAGAGCACTGGACTTACTCAACACCAGACAATTCATACAGGAGAGAAATATTATGAATGTAATGAGTGTAAAAAAGCCTTTCGCCTGAGATCACAACTTATTCAGCATTATAGAATCTATGAATGTGAAGAAACCACAAACTTACATGCAAGAAACATAATATTAGGATTTTATTATAGAATGGGTGAGAACTTTTATTAAGCATTTTATGGATCCTTCCCCTTGCTTTTTATTGGATAGACTATTTCAATGGAATTAAAATAGACCAGGATAAAGTCAAATTAAAAAAAAACACAACTAGAGATGTGTATCTCTCTGGATGGAAACAGTTTATTTAGAGACAGAATATTTTCTTCCTAGGGAAAAGCACCTTTGCTTCTTAG